AACCTCAAAGACTCTGTGGTAGAGGTACGACTTAAGTAACTTATGAGTGTTTTCTGGCAGTAAGGTTATGATTTTATGCATAAGGCCTTCAAGCCACACTCGGTCGAATGCCTGAGAGACGTCGAGGAATATGTAAAGCGCGTGAGCAGGCATTTTTCCAGTAATTTGGACAGGCACGATAGTAAGCTTATTGGCCTGTACGATGAGGGAATTGTGTTGTCTTTCCCAGGCTTCGGTATCATTATAACCACGGACTTTTTCCATTTTTTGGGGTAATAGCCAAGTTTTGTGATCCCGTTAAATAGCTTGCATATAACATCCACTGCGCAGGAAGTTCAATTATCATTTTTGGGGTTATTAGGTCGCTCCCTGGAGCCTTTTTCGGTTTTATTTGCTTCCTAATGACATTAGCAATTGTAGATGCTTGAAACAAAATCCGGTTAATTGCAATTTCATAGCTAAGCGGCGGTAGTTGAAGAGAGTTTCTGACGGCGTTCGTCTGAAATACATTTCGTAGATGTAAAGCAAATGTTTCGGCTCTGTCTTCGTCACTGCGGGCCCAAGTACCCGAGGAGTTTCTAATCGGAGTGACTGATTCTATCGGTGAGCTTAAATTTGGGTGAGCTCTCCACAAAGGATGCTTTGAACTGGTCGGCGACAGTTTCTCGATGTACCGGCGCTGCGCAAGCTCCTCTTCTTGCTTGAGGGTTTTGGTGAGTCTGCGAGTGGCATCATTATAGAATTGCTTCGAATGGGGCGATCTGCAGGATTGCCAAACGCGTCGTAGACGTCGTTTTTCCCGAACCAGTTGTTCGTTTTGCAGATTAGTTTTGTATTGGTGGCTACGCACGATTTTCTCTTCTGGTGTTGAGATTTTGGCTGCTGCCACGAGTACTGACTCCAGGGCATCAGCACAGAAGTCGATGTCGTTCTCTATGTTTAACTGTGGTGTTGTTCAATGTGGGAACTTACGTACTTTTTGTATTATTATAACCACGGACTTTTGCCATTTTTTGGGGTAGTAGCCAAGTTTTGTGATCCCGATAAATAGCTTGCATATAACATCCACTGCGCAGTTTGGAAGTTCAATTATCATTTTTGGGGTTATTACGTCGCCCCTGGAGCCTTTTTCGGTTTTATTTGCTTCCTAATGACGTTAGCAATTTCAGGTGTTTAAAACAAAATCGGGTTAATTGCAATTTCAGAGCTAAACGGCGGTAGTTGAAGAGAGTTTGTGGCGGCGTTCGGCTGAAATACATTTCGTAGGTGAAAAGCAAATGTTTCGGCTCTGTCTTCGTCACTGCGGGCCCCAGTACCGGAAGAGTTTCTAATCGGAGTGACTGATTCTATCGGAGAGCTTAAATTTGGGTGAGCTCTCCTGCTTTGTACTGGTCGGCGACAGTTTCTCGATGTACCGGCGCTGCGCAAGCTCCTTTTCTTGCTTGAGGGTTTTGGTGAGTCTGCGGGTGGCATCATTATAGAGGTGCTTCGAATGGGGCGATCTGCAGGATTGCCAAACGCGTCGCAGACGTCGTTTTTCCCGAATCAGTTGTTCGATTTGCAGATTAGTTTTGTATTGGTTGCTACGCACGATTGTCTCTTCTGGTGTTGAGATTTTGGCTGCTGCCACGAGTACTGACTCCAGGGCATCAGCACAGAAGTCGATGTCGTTCTCTATGTTTAACTGTGGTGTTAGTTCAATGTGGGAACTTACGTACTTTTTGTACTTTAGCCAGTTGGTTCTAGTCGAGGTCAGCCTGAAGGGGTGCTCGATTACTTTCGGGCTTTGAAGGAGAGTTATTAAAACAGGCGAGTGGTCCGATGATAAGTCCGATAGCGATTTGGCGCTTACTAAATTTCTTGGGATGTTCTTGGTCACAGCGAAGTCAATTAAGTCCGGGAGTTTTCTGGGGTCAGCTGGCCAATATGTGGGGCTGCCAGGGGAGACATAGTCGAGTTTGTTGCTCAAATTTATGATTGCCTTATACAGTTGTCTTCCTTTAGGCGTCACGAGTCTTGATCCCCAGTGCGTGTGCTTGGCGTTGTAGTCTCCTCCTGCTATAAAGCGATCTCCGAGTGAATTGTAGAAGTCCAAGAATTGCTCTTCAGTTATTGTAAAACGCGGTGGGCAATAGACAGCGGCTATAGTGATACTGCCGTTGCCTGCTTGTAGATTTATAGATGTAGCCAGCAAATAATTTGTTGCAAACCTCTGGTGAAAGTGGTGCTTAAGGCGTTCCCTGATTAGGATTCCAGTTCCTCCGTGAGCCTTACCGTCCGGATGATCTGTGCAGTATGAAGTATAACCTCTTATTTGGAAGTTGTATTTACTTGTGAGATGCGTTTCTGCCAGCAGCATTACATCTATTTGGTTTTCATTGAGGAATTGAGTTATTTCAAGTTTGTGCCGTGAAACGCCATTGGCATTCGATTATTTAGATTGTTGGGATGTGAGCAAATTTATTAAAATGTTTTGATTTTGCATAAGGTTTGTCATTGTTGTTTTCATGAATGACATAAATTCCATAATACTCTGTTGTAAAGTCAGCATCATGGTTTTCATGCTGTTTGGTATTTGTCCTATTGCTTGCTGAGGTGTTATTATATTTTGCTCAGAGCATTGAGCTTGTGGGAACCCCGTTTGATTGGCAAGTCCTGATTTTAGGGCACTGGCGTATGAAACTCCCCCATTTGTGTTGAGGGGCCCAAATGAAGATCTGGCTGCTTTCGCAAAGAAAACATTAGGTGTGGTTTGGGATTGCACGTACGCATTTCGTGCATTCTGGGAGCGTGCTTGTTTTGCTTGTTGAATCTGACTCTTAAGCTCTTTATAGACCGGGCAGCCTCTGTAGTTTGCTGTATGGTTATCTCCACAGTTAGCGCATTTCTTTGTCTTTGGGGCTTCTTTGCTTGCAGGGCAAGGTTCGGATTTGTGGAAGCCACCACAAGCTACGCAGACTGAACGAAGCCCGCAGTTGTTTCTGGTGTGTCCATACTCTTGGCAGTTTGTGCATTGCAAGCGGGCCTTAAACAGTAATCCTTCTGTGCAACAGAAATTGCAGTTTATAGATCGGGTGCACTTCATTTTTCTTCAAGGCTCTGCTTTCTGGCTCCAGTTCGACCTTAAAGAGTGGTTGCGGCTTTTTATTTTTGTTGATAATATTAATAATATTTTTGAAGAAGAATCCTTTTTCTTTCAGTGCCTCTTTTACCTCATTGGTGGATACGTCGGGATCTATGCCCTTTGGCACTACTTGCAAGCCCTTGCTACTCTTGAGCTGGTACGTGTAGTAGGGTTTCCTAGCCTCGTATAGGTAATTTGTTACAGCTCTGAATTGATCTTCAGTTTTAGCTTGAAGCTTTGTTTCATAAATATTCCCTTTAACAAGGGGAGTAACATAAAAGTTGTCATTCCCGACCAGCGCAACAATTTTCTTTACTAGGGTATTTGAATTCTGTTCCCTTATGTAAATTGGTGGGGGCTTTGGTTTCTTTTGAACAGCCTGTCCAGATTCGGATTGATTATTATCAATTTCCGACAATAGGGCGAATCTGTTGTTACTAGATGCCCCTGGTTGTTCGCTGCCTTTATTAGGGCAATTTTGTTTTGGTTTATTTCCAACCATTTTATTTTGCGGGCTTTTAACGGCGACCGTTGATGTTGTTGTTGCAGTGGCTGCGGTTGCAGAAATTAACGAGGTCGCAGTGCATGTGGCTGGTGAGCTGTGAGTCGAAGCTGGGGGTGGGGTTCTACACGGCAAGCTCCATGAGGTGGGAGTTGGTGTGAGTAGGGCGGGAGAACAAGACCGTGCTCTCGCACTGTCAATGGTCAGTAGGGCTGAGTTGCTCTTTGAAGAAGTTCTTTCTACTTCTGTATCACGGGTTGAGAAATAAGAAATATAACTGTTTCTCTGGTCTACGGAGCTTCTACGCTCATTTTTTGAATCGCCGCTCATTGAGCTATCACTCGTGGCACTTCTTAGTTTTTATAATAACTTTGCACTAGTTTTTTACATAACACTAATTATTATTTACTGTTTTTAGCAATAAGATTGCCTTTATTACACCCCTCCAGTATTTTTAGTTATTGTTTTTTCACTTTTGAGCGGTTTTTTTCCGGAGCTCGCGCAAAACACGTCTGCACTCTCCGGCTGTTGTTTAATAAATTTAACATTATAAATATTAAATTCCACAAATATTTCCAGACGTTTCCATTAATTTTAATTCGAAATCAATGTCGAAAAATTAAAAGCCGATTTGGTAATAGGTATAGTATTAAATTTTTTTTCCATTTTTTTCTGAATGCACAACATTTGAGAATATTGTGTTAAAATTTAAGATCGATCCGAGCTAAACTTCCGAACTTATGGGCAGTTGAACGTAGGTAACTAAGAGCGTTTTATATTCAATTTTTGGGTGTCCCAAACTTTAAAACGCTCTCCTGAAAAGTTGCCATTTCAAAGTCGGTGTACACTACCTGCAATAGAAAGACAACTTTTGGGAAAGTTTCAAGCAGATAGCTCTAAAACTGAGGGTCAAATTTACGTAGACGGACAGACGGACGGACATGGCTAGATCAACTCTCCTGGTGATGCTGATCAAGAATATACATATATACCTTTTAAGGTCGCAAATGTCTCTTTTACTGCGTTGCAAACTTTTGACTGAAATTATAATACTCACTGCAAGGGAATAAAAAGTAATTTGTTAGAAAATAAAATAGCAATAGTTTAAGAAGAAAACAACAAAGAAAACATTGGTATCGTCCTATTTTTGAATCAGATGAAGTTCGCAAATCTAAATTTAATATATTTATTTAATTAATTACATTAATTATTTACAAGATCATACATTTAAATCTTTGAATAGTTGCATTCCGTATGTATGCCCTAATAATACTTCTTATTGACAAATTTTCAAACTTTTTCAAAACTATTTATATTTGAAAACAGGCCGAATTCTTCCTTTAAAGAGTATGCAACTCTCAATAACAGACTTACCTTAAAAAAACGAGTATTGATCCGTTTTTGGACTACAATAAATGAAATTTTGATCCGATCTCCACAAACCATTTCAAATTGTGGAATTTCGTATTTCGAGCAAGTAATCAGCTGACCATCTCCGATTCCATCTCTGAAAATTGATTCAAAAATTATAGGTTGTTAATAATTTAAAAAGTTGGATAGTTTTGGATATATAAATAGCTTATGTTCAATAGAAAGTATGCTTAATTTATCAAAATCTGGGCTTTCTCTACTCATGGTTTTCTTATAAAACCCGCGATGGCATATAGTTAAAGTATGGTTTCAAAATGTATTATATAAGGTTGTCAAATATCTCACTTCCGTTTTTTTTTGGTTATTGAATTTGGCGGCTTTGTGCACAACGCTACATATCGGTATCGGGCAATGTTATATATCGATTGAAAGGTCTTGACATAACCTACAAATCGACACTATTCATAACATAGTTTGGCTATTGCGTTGAAAAGTTATACATGTGTAACATGAAGTTAGCAAACGCCGAAATTCGCGCTGTTTTAAAGTTTTCCTTCGTAAAAGGTAAATCCGCTAGAGAAACATTCCGTGAGATTAATGGTGTTTTAGGGGATGGTACTCTATCACTTCGAACCGCGGAGGAATGTTTTCGACGATTCAGAGCCGGTGAAAACGTCACCATGGATGAGCTAGCCGGCGGAAGACCTGTGACGAAGAATACCGATCAAATCATGGAAAACATTGAGCTAGACCGGCATGTGACATCTCGTGACATCGCTGAGGAGATAGGAGTTAGTCACCAAACCGTTTTAAACCATCTGCAGAAGGCTGGATACAAAAAAAAGCTGGATATTTGAGTGCCGCATGATTTGACGCAAAAAAACCAGTTGGACAGAATCAACGCCTGCGATATGCTGCTGAAACGGAATGAACTCGACCCATTTTTGAAGCGGATGGTAACTGGCGACGAAAAATGGATCACATACGACGATATCAAGCGAAAACGGTCGTGGTTGAAGGCCAGTGAATCGTCCAAAATAGTGGCCAAGCCGGGATTGACGGCCAGGAAGGTTTTGCTCTGTGTTTGGTGGGATTGGAAGGGAATCATACACTATGTGCTGCTCCCATATGGCCAGACGCTTAATTCTACCATCTGGACAACTTGAAGCTGGCGATCGACCAGAATTGGCCAACAGGTGTTGTGTTTCACCAGGACAACGCCAGACCACACACTTCTTTAATGACTCGTCAGAAGCTACGGTACCTTACTGATGTAAAGTTGGGCCCAAAAGAGGGTTGTGAAAAGTGGATGTCAGAGTTTTTCGCAAATAAGGAGGGAAGTTTCTACGAGGGGGGTATTATGAAGTTGCCGTCTAAATGGGAACACATTATCGAACAAAACGGCGCATAGCTTAACTTAATCCGTTCACTGTATCAATTTTTATAAAGCATTTAATTAAGAGCAAACGAGGACGGAAGCTAACTTCGGCAAGCCGAAGTTTTAATACCCTTGCAGACTTTGCCGAAATTGCTAAAAGTGAAAAAGTAGTGAAAGGAATAAGGTATACATAAGTAAACTAGATTTGCATCGTTTCAAGTTAATTGCTTTTATACTGCAAAAATGTCATATACAAATAGAAAAAAAGGGATACTTTCGCAGCCTTAAAATTAATTAATTAATTTTTCCTATCTCCTTTAAGATATAGACTTCCGAGCGGCAAGCGCTTTTACCCTAATCAAGATATGCGTAAATAAATAAGAATTGGAAAAATTTATGATAGTAGCTTACACACTTCGCGAAATATTCTGATAATCATCAAATTTGGACCGATTTCACCCTATTGTTCCTATGGGGGCTATAGGATATAGACGTCCGATCGGCACGCGCCTTCACCTTGATCAATGTATGCATAAAAAAATACAATTTGGAAAGATTCATGTCAATAGCTTGTATACTGCGCGAAATATCCTAAAAATCATTAAATATTAACCGATTTTACCCTTTTGTTCCTATGGGAGCTATAGGATATAGACGTCCGATCGTCACGCGCTTTTACCCTGATCAAGGTACGCATAAAAAATACGATTTGGAAAGATGTATGTCAATAGCTTTTACACTGCGCGAAATATCTTCCATTCTTGCAAGTTATATCCGATTGTTCCTATGGGAGCTATAGGATATAGACATCCGATCGGGGCGGTTTTCAAACTTGATCTGCGTACACTTGTTTTAGGACGAGTGTGAAAGTTTCAGATCGCTAGCTTTTAAACTGAGCTCGCAAACGGTATTGAAACAGACGGACAGACGGACAGACGGACATGGCTATATCGACTCCCCTATTGATCCTGATCAAGAATATATATACTTTATGGGGTCGGAAACGTCTCCTTCACTGCGTTACAAACTTCTGACCAAAATTATAATACCCTCTGCAAGGGTATAAAAAGCGGATGGGAGTTATTTGACAACATAATATACTACATGTACTTATACATTTGTCTTTTCTATAGAAGCCTCAGCAAGGAGAGTTGACGGCCAGGAAAGTTTTGCTCTGTGTTTGGTGGGATTGGAAGGGATTCATACACTATGAGCTGCTCCCATATGGCCAGACGCTTAATTCTACCATCTACTGCGAACAACTGGACCGCTTGAAGCTGGCGATCGACCAGAAGCGACCAGAATTGGCTAACAGGTGTAGTGTTTCACCAGACCACACATTATCGAACAATATCGAACACAACATTATTTTTAAGCTCAAAAAATAGACTTCTTTATTCTTTTGATGTTTTGAGTATGTTTTGAATATTTTCAAAATTAAACTTCTGTATCCGTCGGTGCGTGCTATGTTAGCTTAAACACTTAGCCGCTTATTTTAGGATTAAAAATAAAAATATCATCAAAACTTAATCCCCACCAATGCATTCAAATGAGGAGGAAATTTAACAATTTTTTCTGTGATTGTCGGTTTAAGACTTTTTGTTTAGATCAAAAGAAGTTTTACCTGCTATTCTTAAAAAATGATTGTTTGCTGAATGCAAAAAAGTGATTTCAGCAGGCTGTGCCCCGCCCCACAGCTATCACAGGCCAGGCATGTTACAGGTTTACAAAGTTAATTATAATATTATTAATTTTTATGATAGGAAAATAAATAAAATGACTATACATACATCGCCTAAATTACCTTCTCTACCGATTCATACACATGCTATGAGTGTACGAAGAACTCGATCATGCCAATTCCCGACTTGAACCAATCGGGAGAGAATAGATAAAAGCGAAGCGGCTGTTTTTTTGTTTTCGAGTTAGTCGAGTGTGAGCCTTGCGAAGGAAAAGACGCAATTAAGAAATAAAGAAACAATTAAAAAAATAAAACAACAGTGCATTATAACTTATTCCAATAAATATTTCAATATTAACACCAAAAGTGTTATCAACATATTGGTAACTCCCGCGTTGAAGAACTCCAGGTTTTCAATCTAATGGTAATGGGGCAAGATAGTGTTCTCTTGTATGTTCCAGATTTAGTCTTTACGACTGCAACTCGAACATTCCCATCTGTTCTGAAGATCATCTCAGTGATGATTCCAAGCAGCCACAACTGGGGTGGCAAGTTAATAATAATAATAATAATAATAATAATAATTAATAACGACGACGTCTCCAGTTCTTAAATTCGCAGATTCCTTTGTCCACTTGGCTCTTTGTTGCAAGCTTGTAAGGTACTCGCGAGACCAATCTCGCCAGAAAAGCTGCTTGATTGCCGATAAGAGTTGTCACATCTCTGTAGACAACTCAGGTTGACTTTCGTCGATGCAGGCAGGCTAGCTGGTGGCAATGTAGCAAGTGTGGTGCCAACGAGAAAGTGGGCAGAAGCAATAGTTTCCCTATCGTTAGGGCTGCAGCTATCAGCGACCAACGGGCGTGAGTTCAGTACTGCTTCTACCTCGAGAGACGAGAACGGTCTGGATTTCATCTTTCTTTAAGGGGACTCCTCGTTCTCGGTTTCAAAAAAATTGATTTTTTTTATTTAATTCGAACCTAAACCTATTCAAGAGTGTTGCTTTAAAATTTCAAGTGAAAATTTTAAAAACTTTTGAAGAAATAGCCGATTTATGGTGGAAGCGTCAGGCGACGGCGAGAGCTTCTCAAAACTATAAAAGCGTTTTTCTCGAAACAGTATTTTTACGATTGTCGCATTACTCAAAAACTATTAATCCAATCGAGTCCAAATTTTAGTACGTTATACTATACATAGATCTTCTTTACTTTTCAACTAGATTTGTGGATTAAAAAAGAAGTAGATTTTCAAAAAAAAATGTTCAAAGGTCCGCCATTTTGTTAATTCTTGTGCGAAAATAATAATCTTAGTTCATTTCAGAGCCAAACATGTACAGTCCCTTGCCATATTATTAGACTCATGCTGCAAATCTTCTTTTACATACTTGATATTTCTTGTTGTTAATATGACCTTTTTGTAGATATGTTGGTAGAACTTGGGTTTTTGAATATCGCGGGCACTTTTATCGTTTGTTTTATAAAATAAAAAATAGACCTCGGTTGAAGGCGGCATTGAAGTTTCGCAAAGAACAGTGCAGCGGAAGTTAGCAGAAGAGGGTCTTATTGGACGTAGACCAGTTGAAGCGTTGAAGCTGTGTTGGCTGCGAAAGGTGGTCATACAAAATACTGATTTTTGCAAAAAAATGTATTTTCATCTAAAAAGATTTCATTTCGATGTAAATTTCTAATTTTCTATGTGACATTTATTGTATTTACGTGTTCTAAGCCAGAAAAAGCATGAGTCTAATAATATGGCAAGGGACAATACTCTTCCTAATCCCGTTGGAAAATATGGAAAATTTTGTTCTTTTTTTAAAGACTTCAAATAAATGGATGCAAAGTTACAAGGCTAAAAAATAATAAATGTTCATTTACCAACCCATTGAAAATCGTCAAAATTTGAAAGCGAGTATGGGGGCGGGGGGTCCCCTTAAGAGGGCGTTGCCCACGATGAGGAGATGCTTAGCTGACTATACAGGTGCTTCCCACAGGTTGACAAAATAGTGTGGTGCGGTGAAGGTACTCCCCCTTTCCGTTAGACGTGATCTCTTGAAGCATTCTTGCCGAACCCACAAAATTTGTTGCGTTGCCGCAGTAGTAGATCAGTGTTTCCAGAGGCCCACGGCGACCGGTGAATCTGCTAAGTTAAAGAAGAAATTAATTAAATGTGAGATCCTTTAAAAGCTCCAGAAGCAGATAAAAAGACATACATTTTGAGTGGTGTTTTTCCGCGGATTCCTAACGATACTCTAATGGGCCCGAAAAGACCGACTCCGCTAACTCTAAATGGCTGATTGCGAAATTTGTGACAACAACCAGGGCTTGTATCGAAAGCAGTGAGTGCATTGACGAACAACAGTAGTACATTTGCCACGAGCGTTAATAAGCCAAATACTTTGATGAGTGCTCGAGGTCCAACGTAACACTTCGTGCGGTGGGGATGCTGAATAATAAGGGTAACTTGGCGTTATGTTCCAACGGAGCGCGCAAAAAGCGGCCACCAACTCGCAATTGCTTTAATGTAAGCTTACCGACTGTTTCCGTGCTTATGAATGTCTAGCTTTTGATACGAATCTTGCAAGTGTAGGTTCCTATATAGTTTTTCAAATTCGAAACCAAATGACTCTCGTTGAAAAGCCTGAACGATATTTAAAAAAGAGAAGGCTAATTCTGTGACTGATGGAGTCAAGCTTGTCCACATAATCAAATTTCGGACATTTATAAAACGAATGATGAATGGAACGATTCGGATAACTTTTAAATAAGATGAAATATGATTTGTAAAGTTGAATTTGAATCAGATTCTATTGGGTTCGGATTTCAGATTGTGCGTCTGGCAGAGTGTTTGAAACTCCACGAAAGGGTGGACCATTGAACCACAAGAACATGCTTAACTCCTTGACAGTACAGCCTCGCGATGGAAGCTCCGCCGAAAGTATGTAGCTAGTAGGCACGTGTTTTAAAACTGCAGTTTGGCCTCGTTGATGAATAGCGGATCAAAAAGTACTATTTCCGAGTCCGACCACATTACTACCTGTACTATACGAACGTTTATCAATTTCAGGACATTGTTCCAGAGTTTAGCACGTAGGTGGGCGGCGCAAAGCTCTAGACGTGGTACGCCCAGACGATTAATAGGCCTTGATATTGCAGTCAATAATGTTTTTGTAACCACTTCTAGGGAAACCACACGAACATAAAGACTGAAACCTTTCATATATCCGTGTATATGAATGGTAACTGTTTGATTTGTGCCGACATGTTAAGGAATTTTTATAGAATCTAATTCTTTAAATGAGGAATGTCGTCGTGACGAGTGGACATAACAAACCTAGTGGGTGGTTAATAGGATGGTATATAGGATGGTATATTCCCGCATAAATTCGAGATACATCTCCTGTACAGTAGGATTAGCTTGCATTCTTTGTTTAAGCGCTAGAAAACGTGTTCTGGTGCTCGATTTGAAGAGAGGGGTTATTAAGGGTTATTAATCAGCCAGATAAAAGTCGAGTTACTGTATCGAGGACTTCCTGTCCTTTTCGCAAACAATTTAAGCAAAGCGGTGAACTTTTCGCAAACTTAAAACGCGATTCGATCGACAAATTTTCGAATGACGAACAAGCTAGCATGTAATGATCTTTGGGTCTACTTTGGTCATTACAATGTGGGTGGTCATAGCGTTTCCCATTGTTCTATCACTGCCCAGAGATTGTAGAGAGTCATAGATTGCAGTGACCGTATCAATAAGCGACCTCAATGAAGTGGCTGAGGGATGAAAAATTGTAGAAATGCTTAACAGGCGCGCTATATTATCGAAGAATATTATTCAAGGGTTTTTTATAATGCTTTTGGATGATTAGGATCTGTTACCTGATACGCCTTGACTGTTCCCAGGGCTTCTTTTTCTAGACTCGATAGGAGATGGTTGAACTTTTCTACATTTGACATTAGTGGATCCACGAAAAGACCCATCAAGTTTATTAAATCGGCATAGTTGCCATGAAATTTTTGTTATTTCATGTGTGCAAACCGACAGAAATAACGACTTGGATAACTCTTCCAAATCCGCACGGCAAGAAATATCAAGAGTGACTTCTTTAATTAAAGATGCAGTTTCCGGCTAAATTGGAGGTAGGACAAATGAATTTGGGGCATGATTTGGCTGGAAAACACTTTGAAGATATGAACCAAATGTTTCAGCTTTGTCTAAGTCGCTTCGGGCCAAGCACCTTTTTGGAGTAATCGTTTCGATCGGAGCGCTTAAATTTGGGTGAGCCCTCCATATTGGATTATTTATACTGGTTTCCGAAAGTTACCGCAGCTGTGCATTTTCTGCCTGTTGCCGTAGAGCAAGGGCGAGAGAGCAACCCGGCGTTGATTTGAAAATCGCGACCTGTTGGTCTGCCAAGCACGTCGCATACGCCTCTTTTCCCGCACCAGCTGTTCGATTTGCCGATTGGATTAAAAGTATTTGTTTGCTTGTACCTCCGTTCCTTGTGGACTGGAGATTTTGGTTGCTGCAGTAGTGCAGTCGATGCCCGATTCCATATTAAGTTGAGGGGAGAGTTCTATGTGAGAACTCACATACTTGTTGTATTAGGTTGTTAAATAACTCCCTTCCACTTTTCTGCCCTTTATTCAATGCTTCATAAAAATTGATACAGTGAACGGATTTAGCTAAAATATGCGCCGTTTTGTTCGATAATGTGTTCCCATTTAGACGGAAACTTCATAATACCCACTCGTAGAAACTTCCCTTCTCTGTTGAGCCCAACTTTACAGCAGTAAGGGCATTCGCCACGGGCAGGAACAGGTGGTAGTCACTTGGCGCCATGTCCGGGCTATATGGTGGATGCGATAAAATCTACCAACCGAGCTACCGTAGCTTCTGACGAGTCATCAAAGAAGTGTGTGGTCTGGCGTTGTCCTGGTGAAACACTACACCCTGCCTGTTAGCCAAATCTGGTCGATTCTGGTCGTTCGCCAGCTTCAAGCGGTCCAGTTGCTCGCAGTAGATGGTAGAATTAGGCGTCTGGCCATATGGGAGCAGCTCATAGTGTATGATTCCCTTCCAATCCCACCAAACACAGAGCAAAACTTTCCTGGCCGTCAATCCCGGATTGGCCACTATTTTGGACGATTCACTGGCCTTTAACCACGACCGTTTTCGCTTGATATCGTCGTATGTGATCCATTTTTCGTCGCCAGTTACCATCCGCTTCAAAAATGGGTCGAGTTCATTCCGTTTCAGCAGCATATCGCAGGCGTTGATTCTGTCCAACTGGTTTTTTTGCGTCAAATCATGCGGCACCCAAACATCCAGCTTTTTTTTGTATCCAGCCTTCTGCAGATGGTTTAAAACGGTTTGGTGACTAACTCCTATCTCCTCAGCGATGTCACGAGATGTCACATGCCGGTCTAGCTCAATGTTTTTCATGATTTGATCGGTATTCTTCGTCACAGGTCTTCCGCCGGCTAGCTCATCCATGGTGACGTTTTCACCGACTCTGAATCGTCGAAACCATTCATCCGGGGTTCGAGGTGATAGAGTACCATCCCCAAAAACACCAGTAATCTCACGGAATGTTTCTCTAGCGGATTTACCTTTTACGAAGGAAAACTTTAAAAACAGCGCGAATTTCGGCGTTTGCTAACTCCATGCTTACACATGTATAACTTTTCAACGCAATAGCCAAACTTGTTATGAATAGTGTCGTTTTATAGGTTATGTCAAGACCTTTCAATCGATATATAACATTGCCCGATACCGATATGTAGCGTTTTGCACAATGCCGCCAAATTCAAAAACCCAAAAAAGCGGAAATGAGATATTTGACAACCTGATATTTAGGCCAGTTAGTTCTGTGCGACGTCAGCCTGAGGGGCTGTGTGATTATATCAGGGCTTTGAATAAGTGTTATTGGCAAAGGTGGTCTGAAGATAGATCAGAAAGCACTTTGGCTCTTATTAGATTGTAAGATATGTTTCTTGGGTTTGCTGGCCAGAATGTTGGGCTTCCAGGGGAACTTAGTCAAATTTGTTTCTTACATTTATAATTGCATTCTACAATTGCATTCCTTTGGGAGTCACAAGACGTGATCCGCAGTGCGTATGTTTGGCATTGTAGTTTCCTAAGTCACTTGATTTTGAACATGTGTTTGCATAGTCGTTTTCATGAATGACATTATTTCCATCCACCTTTATTGCTTTGAACAACGTTTTCAAATCTGCTGTGACGTCATAATTAACACTTAATATGTAATATAACTTTTCTTTTGAAAAATTGTTGGTGTGTCGATATATAATTACGGAATACGCTTTTTAATGCCTTTAACAGGTCTCTTTTTGTTATTTTTTATTTTGTTATTGGTAGACATGACAACATTAAGTTGGCCGGGTAGGTAAATATCCTTAAAAAGGCATTTCGTTGAGCTTTGAAAGATAAGAAGTATCCTTGCTTCAGAAAACGTTATCCTTCATGGATATGAGTCATGATGTGTCATCACATCATATTGGAGTAGGCGTCCACGCCGAATAAGCGACTATGTATAGTGTTTGGTACTAAGACTTCCCATAAAATTGATTTAACTGACATAATTACGCCCAACGTAGTGAATGCCGTTGTCAGGGCAACTATAAATAACATAAAAACACAAAGAGGAACATCAATTTCGGAATGTTTTGACTCGCTTGATATGTCAGAAACTCGCAGCTTAATTTACAGCTAAAGGTTATGATGTTGCCAAATCTGAATAATCAGAGTTTATCGCAAGTCTAAATTTATAAGGATTTAAAAAAGTCGGGAAATAATTTTGTAGTTTGAGGATGATATAAAATATATATTCTTTATCAGGATCAAGAGCCGCGTCGATTAAGCCATGCCCGTAAGTTTTGAGATTTAGCATGAAATTACAAAACACTTTAGAGACCTTGTAGATGCTAGATATTGAGCGGAATATGTCAAAAATACTTTTTCGGTCAATATCTACGGGTGCACCAAATATGTTCCAAATCGCACCATTACTTTAGAACTTGTGACGCCATAAATTAGTTAGATGTACATATTGGTTTAAGGGTCCACTCGGTTAGTTGTGTCAAAAAATAGGCAATATTCAGGAATTTTTTTTGGACAAAGAAAACATAGGTACATTAAACTTTTTAGGTATATTTCTGATATTTTAAAGATGATTATAATTTCGAAAATTTTGATGCATTTCCGGACGCAGGGCACGTAGGCGAAGTAGGCCAATTCGTAAAAAAAGTTTTATGTACGCTCCCTACCTGCTTTGAGTCGGTCGGCTCGGAAACTCATATCTTTTAAACTTTAAGTATTTCGATTTAGTATAATATTCTAGAGCTATCGAAAAATGCAAAAAAAAATTATATTTTTTTAACAAAACTAACCAGAATGAACCCTTAAGTACATCTCGTTGTCTTTAATTAATTTTTTTGTCTGGGTAACAGTTCTTTTTTGTCGTATAATAATCTAATTAATCTTCAACATATTGTTCACATCTGTCTTTTCTTTCTTTGTTATACCCTTCCAGAGGGTATTATAATTTTGGTCAAAAGTGTGCAACGCAGTGAAGGAGACATCTCCGACCCTATAAAGTATATATATTCTTGATCGGCCGACTAT